AGCTTATCAAACCTGAACGTGAGTTCTCAGTATTTTGTTCTTTTGTCACCATCAAGTAAGATAGGGCATGCAAAACCAAGGAGAAGAATCATTGAAGCTTTTTACCTGCTGTCAGTTTTGGATACTTTCTTCAGTGTTGGTTTAACGCTGAAATAGTATAAATTTATATAAGATCTTTTACAAATACTTAGCAATTAATAAACAGATGAAAATCTAAAAAAATTTGTGTTTTCGAACAGCGAAGTGATTCAAAGTTGGAAACATGTGGCAAACCATCTAGGTTTCCTAGGTCTGCATGTCAGTAGCTCGAACTGTATTTGCGAAAAAAGGAAGTGTTGGACAATCACTAGGAAAGACTAGAAATGCTTACAATTTGCCTCTTAAATCGTTGACGGAAATGGTTAGTTCGTTGATTTCGAAGTCCTTCTGGCGTACTATATAATTGATATCGTAATGCTCGCTTTCCAGCTGTAACAGCCTTTCCGCCATTTTTTTGGCAATCGCCTCAAGTTCATCTGAAAAACGGAAAAGATTTGCAAGCAGGAAAATTTTTCCGGAAACATAAAATCTGCACTCCCATTAAATTAAGAATGACTAAATTCCTTTGTTCACAACCTTTTCAGGACTCCTTTAATCAAATTTTTAAACGCTAGGAGGGGCTGTTTTGAAATTGTTAGTAAAAAAAATTAGCGGCGTACATCATGATGGCAGAAGTTCTGAGATAGTGTCATCCAAAGCCACTTATATACTTAGTAGTGCGGGATTTTCGACCAAGCAAGTAGAAATTCTTACAAACGCAATAACGGACAAATCAAATTTCTACTATAATCCAGACTAGGAGCATAGGTGAAAATATAAGGGGAGAAATCTAGCAGACTTGTGCACGGCCAAAAAAATTTCTCTTCAACATCTCGCAACTGATCTTTTTAATTCTTAAAATAAAATCCAAACTTTGGGCTAAAAATAGAGATCTTGATAAAAGTATCTGAAAATTGAATTCTACTTTTCTTAAATTCTTGCCTTTTTGCTCTTGAAGTTACAAAATTCGATCGAATTTAAACAGCAGTCAAAGGTCAAAGCGCAAGGAAGCCTGAATGCCGGTTTACGGCTTCAGGTTTCATGTCCACGATCAGAGAGTTTGTTTAAAAAATTTCAGTTTCCCAACTTCCACAAACTCGGGCTGAAAAATGTGAGTAGGTAAATAAACATGCGTTTTTTTCGCGTTCGGCTGTAGCAAAAATGCATGAAAATCAGTTGTCATTGTCTGTAATGCCTTTCTTTTTTCTTTCAGGAAGACTCCCAACATCAATAAATAATAAAATTATTCAGTCACATAACTAGTTTGCTAAGCAAGCAGGATTTAAACATCCAACCATCAGGTGTGCCGTCCAGATCCGGCAAAGGTAAGATACGCTCCTGTAAAGTACGCTGTCTTTCTTGCTCCTTGAGCATCTGCTGCTCTTTCAGATCTTCTGCCGCTTTCATCATCAAAAGCTTCTGCAAGAAGCAGTCACTTTTCGGGAGTATTTATAAGATATTGAAGTATTTAACTGTTTGAAATGTGTCGGTGGGTATAAATTGCAAGGATTTTATGTCGTTAAAAAAACTCAAAAAAGAGACATGCACAAACATGCTTTTGCAACTTCCAGCTACTGCAAAAACACATAAAAACTAACGCGAAGCTTCTTTTTTCTTTCCGGTGTCAGGAAGCCTTTTTTGGCTTTCTTCGCTCGACTGGCCTCTTCCAGACGTCTACGCACTTCTGCCTTCTTGCGAGCTCGCTCTTCGGCAGCCTTTCTTGCCTGAAATGCATTCTTGCGCTCCAATATGGCACTATACTGCACGGACTGCGTTTATGAATAAATCCACCACGACCAGTTTCTTTCGTTGTAATACCATATTTTACAAGTTTAACGAAGAAAATTGGCTCACCGCTTCAGGATCCTCATCTTCACCTTGCGGGCCACCATAACGGACTAGTATTACTGCTTCCGGACAAATTTCTGCACTCGTCTCCTCTTCTATCTTCTTGGTCCATCTATCCATTTCCTCGTCCTCCTTGCTCTGCACAACACTTCCACCTCCTCTCATGGTGACTAGAAATACCACAATATAAGTAAATGGAAAAAAGCGGGGGAGGGGGAGGAGCATCGATTCTATGAAGTATTTTTACCACATTCTGCAAATGAACTGTAAGTAAATGCATCATTGTGTAAAAAAAGAAATAGTTGTTATGCCATGATCATTAGTTTGAACAAAGGAAACAGACGCCAAATAGGGTTAAAGAACAAATTTGGAACAAATTCCCGTCAAAACTTTCACGTGTAATACGCGGGTCCCGGGTTTGCGTGAAAGAAAGTGCCATTTTCTTAGGCTGGCGTTTGGCCGGGGAACCCATTGGTAAATTGCAGCATCAAAGCTTGCCTGGTTGCCGACTTAACTACCCGCATACATGCACATGCACACACATCATGGGTCATCACAATATGCGTTTTTGCATTTGCCATAGATGCGCAAAAGCGCACAAAAAGTAGCGATCGAGCCACTGCGAGTGCCATCTGCACAATATTCAACAATGCACAAAACAAAGAAAATGAAGCAGATAAGATGGGATTTATAAGGAGCCAAAGACTCGGAAATACACAGCACTTCGTAATGTCAGCTCGGTACACAGTGTAAGCAGTGGAGATAAGCTAAAGCAACGATTTCAGTCAACAGACTGGGGGAAAACTGGATCCAGTAGGTGGATGTTTACAGAGCAGCTGAACACAAGCAGCGCAACTCCCGAAGAAGATGACAGAAATGCAAAGATAGCCGAAGGAGATATTAGAAAAAGCGGAGATATTGAGAGGAGTAATTCAGTTCTGGGCTCCGGACAAGACTAAAACTTTGAATTTAAAAAGAAGCGAGCCTGAAATTCAAAAATTTTCTTCTGGCTATTGCACAAGAAGGCATGAGCCACAAAATTTAGCATTTAAGACCTACCAACTTATGTCATACTTACTGTACAAACTAATCCTTTCATCAGTCTTAACAGCCTCTGGAACACAGGCTTTCACTGGGTCAACAATCTGGAATTTATCCTACACTTTTCCATCATCGAAAATAGAGACTGATTGAGAAAAAACGCCAGAAATATGATATCATTTCGCCAGCAATGATACTCACCAGTCGACTCGAAAAGACAAAAATTCGGCAACAGCGAAATTTTTAATGACAAAATCCCTATTATTTACGAGAACTTCAAATATTTCGATTTGAGTGCCTTAAAAATATAGCAAAATTACAATGATCTTTATGTGAATTACAAATTTGTTAATGGAATACTGCCGTTAGAGTTTCCCACAAATTTTTCGATTTTCCATGAAAACTAAAACTGTAAGGTACGTTTGATATTTTGTTCCGAATAGTTTCATTTCTGTCACCAAGCTGTAAACATGTGGAGAGTCGCATCAGAAGAAAATGTTTCCGTTGAAAATGCCAAGAAAAAAATTAAAAACGAATTCGTAAATTGCTACCGATTAAATGCACTTCCATGTTTTCCACACCGCCATCCTTGCATTCTTGATGTACTAAAAATAAACTGGGCATTGTTGCTCAGCATAAGGTATCTTTTGAAATTCAAGTTCTTCTTTGCTTAGATGCTGCGCATTTCGAAGCAGATAGATGAAGATTAAAAAGTTTTGAATATGTCGCCATAAATCGCCAAGACACATTCAGTGAAGCAGCCCATGCCGTCTTAAAATCCAGTTATCTGTAAAGTAAAACTGGCTTGTCCATGCCATTTTTATGAAAAATACGACTGACCTTGTACGAGTACAAAATGGAAGGAAATAGGGGCCAAGTTAGGCTTTGTAAAGTAACTTCCAATTTGCTATCAGTAACAGCCGGATCATCGCTAACTTCTTTGCAGTAAAAAATGCAGTTCTTCCCTTACGTCAGTGTATAGCGATGGGAGCCCCCTGAGGGCGGCCTTAAACTTCCATGTACGTCTACACACGAAAACACTTGGCTTTAAGAATTTATTTTTTTATGCTTTTTGCGCACTGCTACTGTTATCCTCAAATTTAGTCGCCGGAAACTAGGGCGTTGGGCGCGCTTTTCACCAATCATTTGCCTCACCCCCCGTCCTCTTCTCACAGTTCCTCCATCTCTTTTGCAAATATTTTGAATGAAATAATTTGGAGAACTAGCAATTTGATAAAAGGCAGCGCATTGGCTTTGTTCCCAATTTTTAATTCTAAAAAAAACATTCAGTGCTTTTGTTTGCGGAACTCCTTCCATTGACCTCTATTGAGCAGCAATGCGACTAATATTTTATGTAAACTATTTTTTGTATTTCCGTCAATTCTTCAAGCAAATAATCCGCTCGATATTGTCAAAATGCAAAAACTCATATTGTCGGGAATTTCTCGGTTTTTCTGAGTGTATGTAT